TCACGCCCCCATCAGCACTCCCCCATTTCAAGACTTCTATATACGCCACTGCCCCACCCCCACCCATCCGCCAACCCTTAAATTTTCATATTTTTCATGGTCTTCGCACCCTGGACCACATTCGAAACATTCCAAGCGACGCCCGCTTTCTGTCCTCGGAGAGATCGGTACCCTCGTTAGGAACAACTTAAGCTAACAGATCACCAAACCTTCAGCGTCAGCTGCTATACCACATGAGTTACCAACCGTCTCGCAAAAAGGTCCCGCATTTCAAAGTGATTTTGGATGAAACACGTATTTTGCAGACATATGCGTGAATGATTCTAAATGTGTCACTCATTTAGCACAGATCTATGTGTGATAACGGATTATCACGAATTCAGAGAAAAATGTATTTCAAATTGGCTTTTATTAAAAATATAAAAACGGTCATAATTTGAATACAGTACTGTATAACTTGAAAGGTCTATACACAAAAATAAGGTGTGGAATTACTGTATTAGTAAGCATCGGGAAGCGCGTACACAACTTCACTGACGTGTAAACAACATATGCTCTGTTTATTCTGATTGATTTCACGAACAGACACAAACTGTTCACGTTAACAAAACGAACATTTTAATTGTTTAATGTCAATATTTAAACATATGCAAAAAATATTTATAATTTTTATATATTGATAGTAAAATTTACGGGTTCTATGAAGTCCGCGTCAAACGCGTTTTTGGTCGAAATTGAAGTTTGTGTCTCTTCTTCCAATCGCTCCCCATAAATCCCACCATACCAGCATCCTGACTAAAGCTTGGTTTCCATACAATCGCTACACTGTCGCTGGAGTGTTTTCCGCGCATGCGCTGTACTGCGTAGCAGTCTTTCACGAAATCGGGAAGGCTCCCCGATTAAACCGACCAATCAATATCACCGAAAGCTGTGCGCGATAGCGTGCAGCAATTGCACGGAAACAAGGCTATACTCCAAGCGGCCCTTTGGTTCGGACCCCTATCGGACTTATTGGACTCCCTGTCGGCAATTTGCTGGAGAAACCACTCACTGCCAATATCAAATTGGGGCAAAGCATCACCATCCATGTTAACATCAAGAATCATACTGGAACCCTCAAATATCGTTAGCGTGATTTCAAATTCGTTGTCCAAATCTTCAGATGTCGGGCATTCCAAATCTATGCCAGCCGCATTAATCGTCATATCAACTTGCACTTCTGAAACATTCAGATTTCCCTACAAGAGTTGAAGATCGTTGTTATATAATAAACCTGTATATTTCTCATCATCAACAGTATCTTCATCTTCATTCCATATAACTATAACTTAAAGTTCTGTATGATTTATAAGAATAAGAACTTATTAGCCTCCTCCAGTTAATGTACAGTAATAATGTATTTTGTTATTTGGAAATAAATGAAACTGAACTGAAACGGAATACCAGTTATTATCAGCGTCACTTTCGTTATTATCATAATCATCATTACCATCAAATGATAATGATGATGATGATGATCATCCTCATCATCATCATCCCTTCACTTTTGAGTGAAATAAAATTACGAAATATAATCGTCATCATTCTCGTAGCCATCGTCATGTCTTTTTTCTCAACATTAACATCATCATCATCACCTTCATTAGCATCCTCGTTAGTCGTCAGTTAGGCATACAGTCAGTATCACTTTCGTCATTATCATAATCATCATCATTATCATTTCATCATAATCATCCACATTATCACTTTTCCCCTTCCTCATTCTCATTTTCATCATTGTTGTTATCATCATCATCATTTGCTCTTAAGCCTAATAGTATGGAATACCTACATCCAAAATTCCGTTTTCTGCTCTACATGTAACAGTATAGACGCCAGGAATGGCGTAAGTATGGTCTGCTGTTAACGATGTTGTCGGCTCAGTGATGGCAGAGCCATCCCCAAAGTCAAACGTGAATTCGGGTTGATAACCCGTGTTATCATCAATGGTGATGCTGCCTTCAGTACCGACAACAAAGGTAAGCCCTGTAGGTAATTTAACCGTGATCGCTTCATTCAGAGACTCAAACACCTCGCAGTAGCCTGTTCCTCCGCATTTTTCTGAAGCGAGCCCCGTACACGGCACATTACAGTACGTGGCTGCTGTTACCGAAGTTACCCCATTATATGTGTTGGTGTTGGAACATAGGCAGAAGCGTCCATCCTCAACGGCAGCAAAGTCGTAATCATATTTTGCACAAGATATCAGGCAACGACCTCGTGTCAGAAGAGAAGGGTCGATGTCCTCGGGTGGTACAACGAACCCACGACTCAATTTATTAATTTCAAAGCAACCAAGGGATATAATTGCTGTTGAAAAAAAAAATGATTTTCGTTTTTCTTTTTAAAAAGTTTCCGATCTACCTTCATAAAGTCAAACATTGATAAAGACCATTTCTGATGTATGGAGATAATAATTTTAAACTATAAAAAAAGTGCGAAAAAAGTTCCCCAATCGGGATTGGAACTGCTTCTGCTGTTTATGATTCTACGGTATGCTAATACAACGTAAAACAGAAATTAGAGTTCGCATTTGGTGGTGTTTGTCACATAAAAACATGCCAGTGTGGACGCTCTATTATAAATGTTAGTGTAGGCACTATGTTTAGCAACACGCGGTTTTCGAAAGTCAGACGTTTTAACTTGAATCATACAAAAACATGTTTATCGATTCTAATAAAAAATCCTAAAACTTACAGATTAGAATAAGACTGTAATAATGTTGTAACGTTGTTAACAAAGATCATTACAGGGCACAGCGACGCTCATAAGTACACATAAACGTTGTTTTAGGCGAAAATATCATCAAAATTTCCTTTTGTCTCACATAGCATACCGTAGCTAATCAAACTCTGGTTATATAAATCGCTATGACCATTGTCTAAAGCTAGAATTTTCTACCACAAGAAAACCCAGATCACGAAAGTATCGCGAAAAGCTCCGTCCAAATTATACATAAAAATATATAATTATATATATAATTATAAAAAAAAGAAACATGACATGCTAAAATTATGATGACATCATGGCCACAGGGGATATGCAGCAGTTTTCTTTTGTTAAAAAAAATGATAGTGTGGACCGAACTTTATGTTGTAACTAAAACCCGTTTATACTCTAAAGCTTCGTGTAAACAGGAATCAACATTATAGATGATATAATTACATTATTAGCCTGGTTCTCATGAGAGCCCTAGTATCAGAATTGGGAGCTAACCGTTAGGGCTAACCGTTAGCACCTGTTTGACAACGCCCGATCGGTTACTCTAACCGTTAGCGGTATCCGGATACCGCTAACGGTTAGCAAGCGCTATCGGTTAGCAAGTTGAGCGCGTTTCTATCATCAACCAATCACACGTACGCGTTTACAATTTCCAGTTTTTTTGATTGACCAGTGATTCGATCATCATATACTTGGTATCTGGATCGGAATCTTCTCGTATGGACGCACGGCAGCTAACGGTTACAGCTGCCGTGTGCGTGGGAGTACATAGCCTCTTTTTATTTTATTTTTTATTCACTGTATTTTATTTCAAACAAATCAAACAAATCAAAAATAAACCAACGTAAAATCTACAACTACAATTCAAATAAAGGAGATTTAAGAAATATTGATTACTTACAGTTGGCGCTGGTAACCGGTTGCCAAGTTATCTAAGAAAAAACAATACCATACATCATGTGCTTATAACGCAAATATAACTGGTGTTTGTTTATTCTGACTTGTCATGAAATGATTGGATGTGGTTAGTGCACACGTTGATTTCTCTTATAATAGGCAAATAGCACATTAATCCTTACTCAAACAATGGAAAGAGTATATAAATTTCTGCATATTATTATTATTATTATTATTATTATTTATAAGAGTACGTTTTGTATAAATATACATCATGAAGGAGTCGAAACGTCGATCTTTTCTTTTTAGCGTTATTTTTATATTAATTATTATTATTATTATTATTATTATTATTATTATTATTATTATTATTATTATTATTATTATTATTATTATTATTATTATTATTATTACTATTATTATTAATATTACTCATGTCCATCGAACTATAACAAACATATATCTCTTCTCATAATAATGATCGGCTGCCTATGATGTTCAACTATAGCCCCAACATACTACAACCATGTCTAAGAAAATTAAAAAAAGACTTCCTCTCCCTGAAAGAAGACCCATCGATTGAAAAATTATTTTTACAGCACCTCTACTTGCACGTGACAACACCCTAATTTAAAGTCCAATTTAACCTTTCTAAACTCCCCTCCACTAAACCGATTCCTGGCAACACACAGTCACTCTAACATCTCTAGATGACAATTATGCGACATCATTAATAAGACAGCTCATTAACGCCACCAGGGCACAGATAATAATCCGGCCGCCAGTGCTCAATTTTAACTCGCCCAATATTATATACCTCATATACTGCAAAAAATGCAACAAGGGAAACTACCGTATGTTGGCGAAACTGGTCTCAATTTCAAATCTAGAATGAATAAACACAAATCATCTATAAGACGCAAACTCAACTGCCCAAAGTACACATTTTAATTCGCCTATAATCACACCATAGATGACTCAATAAAGGGTTATAACAATAGGAACACAAGAACGACGTAACGAAATGAAATGGATAATCGGGTTCAAAACTCACACTAAGAGACTAAATAAGGACTTAGGCTCTACATGTAATTATGCCTTCATCGCAACATTTCACTATGAATACAGTATTTATTGCTATATAAGTTATTTCTACGTATGTACATTTTATTATATTCCTTGATTTTTAATCTGTATTTAATGGTCATCTTCATATCATGCGTTATATCATTTAAACTTATACATATAGGCCTACTATTATATTCCTACATCAATTTTCTATTCCACAATTGTTTAAATTATATAGGACCTTAAAATATAAATCTTACTTAAAATCTGCATCGGCAAACGTAAATAAAAACTCTTGAGAGGTGTCTAATATTGCCAAAAGTAGTTTATTAAGTACACGAACGTTTTCGGGCATCGCCTTTCATCAGGTATACGTACAGATATAAATAATTACGAGAATATATAAATGTAATGCGGACGTAAGATGAGTGACATAAAAAACAAGGAGCTTGATAAAACATAAGACCGGGTAGCGTGGATATGAAAGCTATAACAATGCCTAAAGGACGTAGTTGATAATAAACTAGCAATCATAATTTTCATCTTCATTTTGATTATCATTACAATCATCATTACTATTATGATCATCACCGCCATTACCGTCATCATCTTCTTCAACGTCATCGTAATTCATCATCATTTTTATTATTATCATCATCACTTTTGTAGTTGACTACAATCATTAGTATGTACCAGTTTCTGTCTGTATTTACAAGTACTATAATTTTGTATCTTTGTACATTTTAATGTCTAATGATTCTTGAGTACAGTAACATGGTATGGTGTTATCGTACTATGAACAATGTCTTAACCAGAATAAAGGCATATGATATACAATTTCACAGCGTTGTTTATACTGTATGAATAATTTAAGTTCCGCGTACAAGTTTCCATGAAAGATGAAATGAAATAATGATTTATTAAAGATAATTACATGTTGATCTAGTGCTTGAGGTGAAACACAACAATACAGAAAACACGAATTAAAGTACGAGAAGAAATATGATGACGCACGAATTAGCTCCAAGTAACCATAGCAACCGAAACACAATTATCTGAAGAAGAATCATATCTATAATAAAGGTTTTTTTAGAATTGACGAAAAGTGGTATTTTCTGGAGTCTTAATCTGTCCTGATTTCAATACACCATCCGACACGGCAGTCGTGTGAAACCATGGAAACCAAGGTAGCTGAATTATTTTGAGTGTGTTTTGCCCATGCATGAAGCGACATTATTTAATGGCCATATTATATAGATGTTATGACAACATCACATATAGCAATTTATACAAATTTGTCATAACAAATATCCGATCAAATTGTGCTTTGCATTGTCCGCCAAAAAAAAAAAAAAAACGGAAAAAAATTTCAAAAAAAAAAGAAAACAGGAAAAAAATTTCAAAAACTAAATTAAAAAATTTGAATAACTCACTTAAATATATCAAATAATCTATAAACTTCCAACTAGAAACAGATCGAAAAAATTTAGTTAAACCATTCTGTGCGACCATCTCTCTTAAGCCTGGTTTCATTAACATCGCTACACTGTCGCTACACAGTGTTTTCAGTACCATTGTATTGCATAGCAGTCTTCGGCGTAATAGGGAAGGCTTCCTGATTCGACCGACCAATCAGCATTCTGAAAGCTGTCGGCGATGGCTTGTAGCGATTGTATGGAAACCAAGCTTTAACCGACCACTTGTCAAAAGCCTTTCTAGATTCCCATTCAATATCAAATCGAATGTTCCTTAATATTTTCTTTGAATATGAAAATAATACAATCTGAGTACCCCACTTTTTTCTTTCCTTCTTTATTTATATTTCAAGAAGATGTCTCACTCAGCGAAGCTGATTTTTTAAGGGGAGTCCTGATCACAACAAACGAATTACAGGCCCGTAGCCAGGGGAGTTTTATGGTTCGGGCGAACCCCCCCTGTTTTCTAGCGAACCCCCTCGAATTTTTGAATGAGTCCCACCCGTAGCCAGCGATAAAAGCCTACATTCATAGAATATGCCACCAAACGAAGTTTTGCGACTTAATCCACCAAATGCAGATAAAGTTTTGCGACTTAATCACCTAATTGTGGATTGTGTGGTTAGTAAATTCCATAGCCACACACTAAACTATGTGCTGATGGAGCATTTTGGGGAAATGGACTCTCCTTTTTTTCATCCCAAACAAAATATTATTAATAAATCAACATAGTCTATCTCAGTCATCATAGCCAGTCACAAAATTAGGCTGGAAGTTTGTTTTCAACAGCAGACACACTACAGAACGGAGTGCGTCAAAACGAGTGTTTGTTAATTTTTAGTGATAAAGACTGACTTTTTTTCGTCCGCTGTTGCAAAGAAGAAAACGACAGATACTCCTGGTGGGTTATTGATTTTAAAATCAATTAGCCTAGCCTAGATGTTGACTAGCTAGGTAATCTGTAAATTATTATTGTTTGGCCTGGGACGAATCTAGACAGGCAGGCAGGCCAGTTTTACCGTCGGAAGTCCTGGGTCGGATTCGACGATGACGTCCGTGCACGTTTACAAACGCTATTGATTAGAATGAAAATAGACGCGATAGACGCGCTGAATTTCGGGGTTTTTTTTTTTGTTTTTTTTTTTTGATGAAAGATAGAATTTATCGAACATTTATCTACATAAAAACAAGAATAATATTGTAGAAATTGTATTTCTAATGATGCATATAATTCATATTTCATTTTGTAGACAATAAATATTTAGTAAGATATACTAAAAACGATTATTAATTCTGAAATGTGCATCTCAGCTATTATTAATGAGTAGGCTATGTATTATGTTATAAAATCTTAAAATAATAATTTCGAATTATGCTAAATTTCGGCTCTGACTTAATTTAACGATGGCCCTATCAGTAGTAATGACAGTATTTGTGCTTTTTTACCCATGTAGTAAAATAGTACTATTATTATGAGAGTCAAGAAGAAGTAGTAGAAGAAGAATAGGAGGAAAAAGAATAGCTTTTTTGTTTTATAATAATAAACGTGTTGAGTATATTGATATTGATTATGCGATGAGGTTTTTGTTTATATCTTTCGGTGTGATTTAAACATGCCAATTCTCAGAATTGTCAACATTTTCGGGGGCTTCGCCCCCAGGACCACTTTTGGAACCTATTAATTGAAGCTCGAACACGCCCACTTTGCTTTCGTTGGGGAAATCTGACCCCTCGTCGGGGCACCGGCCCCCAGGTCGGGGACCTCGCCC